ATGATAAAGTTAAGAAACTCTGAAAGAATGCAACATGCAACCATGATGCATTATGGTTTTTTAGATAGATAAAGGTTGGGTTGAAGAAATTAAAAATGAGTTCAGAATAATGATTTATTATCATGAAATAAGATGTTAAGTTTAGAGCTGTGCTAAAATAGATTTTTGATCTAATAAATTGAATCAGAATTTTCATGACAACCACATACCCCTCCCCAAAAAATATAAAAAAATCAAGCTATATAATGATGCAGGGATAACTGATTTAGCTAACATTACTTGTTGATTTAACCATTTGATTGTCATTAGTGAGCTCAGTTCACATTTCAACTGCACACTGCAGTAGGTGCAAACAAACCAACTTTCATTGCAAATTTACAGCTGACAGATATTATCCATATCTGGAAAGAAAGAACTACATAATTTCAAAACTGCCACAGGATTGACCAGCCATTTAACCCAGGAGTGCACACACTCTTTTGAGTTACAGGGACATGCCCTGCATCCAAAAGACCCGGCTTGTGTTTTTTGAAGGAAAAAACTGTTACTCTTCAGGTTAAAGTGTTACATTTATGCCAAAATTTTATGATCGAACTTAAAAAATATGCAAATTATTAAAATTAAAATTTTAATTTCCATAATAATTATGAAATAAAAGTTTTTTAAAGGAATAGAAAAACATATTATATTGATATAGAATTCTTTAGAAATTCATTATATTATTATTCAGGTTACTCGGGAATTATTATTCAAGTTTGTTAAGAATATACTGCCTGAAAGAACATCTTCATCAGAAAGCTTCAAATTTTTCATCAATTGTTATGAACTTGCCAACAGTGTAATATTTCTGGTAGTTATTCACAAAAACTTCAAAAAAACTCTCTTATAAGTGCAAGTCTTTCTGGATGATGCGAGTTCCTATCTCATCAAAATGCAAAATCTTGATTATAAAAAAAAATAAATGTTTGTAGGATGCAGTTTTGTGAAAAAATTTCCAAGCCAGTGTTCCATCTGTTACCCACAGATCCTGCACATTTACATGAGATGACTTATGTCACAAAAATATAAAAGGCCTATAAAAGCGAGAATTTCAATTACAGTTGTGTGATGAGCATCTCTCTCTTTGAAGGCTGTCAGAAATAGATGCAATATAAATATTTGTTTAACTGATGACGTTCAGCAACATTTGTTCACTTAATAAAAGTTCCCACGATTTATTTAGAGTCTGCACTATTTTGCCTTACTGATGTTCCAGGCAATTTAGTAATAATATTATGAGCAGGAGTTCTAACATGAGCTTTAGGCTTTTCTTTTGACCCCTCCCCCCCAATAAAGCAATAAATGTCATTCTCATTTTCATTTTCAGAATGCATCTGAAAGGTTTCAGATTTTAAATTACATCCAAGGAGCATTTTTCTAACATTTTGTCTGTTACCTTTATTTATTAAATATCATGTTCTTCGCACTTAAACCATAAAATTCAGTTCAAGAGCACTATCGCAAAATAGTTTTAAATTGCGCATATCCTTTAGAATTTCCAATACAGAGTCTCCCACACTGGAGATAAAAATGTTTTTTCTGAACAATGTTGCCATTGCTCGCTTTGAAATCCTTGATGTTCAAAATCCTTGAAGTTTGTTAATCAAAAATTCGTTAACGTTTTACAAATATGAAATTGATAATAAAACAAATTTCAAATTTGGAATTTGTTTTATGCCCACATGCCCATATTCACAGTAGGATTATGTCATTCTAAATCTTAATGTGAGAAATATACATACATTTATACAGATTTTTCATTATTTAATTTCTTCAAAAATAATGCAGGACTCTAACATGTGATGGCAACAGTTTGAAAAGTGAAACAGACATTTATAGTGAACCAACACAAAATCTCAAAATGAAAACAATTGTCCTTCAGGGACAAAAGCCCCTTTGGACTTACAGTTCTGTATCTTCTGTTCTACTGGGCCGATTGACAAAATTCAAATTGTGTTTTTCGTGTCTCGAAAGTGCAACTTAGGATATGTGTTAGATTTATATACAGCATTGTTCTAATATAGGTATTTTGATGTAAAATCGGACTTTTTCTGAAATGACATGCCAAATTTTTCCCATATTTCAATTCTACGACCCAAATTATGCCTAAATATTAAATTTTTGTAAAATTTAGTGCAAAATTTACGGAGAAATTAAAAAAATTATTTTGGCACATTTCTTCAACTTCCGCCAAGAATAATTTACTTGGCGAACTTCTTAATTTATAGCAACCTATTTTCCCTTTTTTTTTTTTTCATCGTACACGAGTGGAAAAAAAGGTCATCATTTATTACTTTCAAATAATTTTAACAAAGTGCATAAAACACATTTGGCAGTAATATACCAAATTTCAAAATGCACCAATATGTAAATTCATGTATATCTTAGAAAATTTTGAATAAAAAAATTTTTGCAGGTGCCTAGAAATACATTTGCTTTAATATGATGTTAAAAAATTTATAGGTTATAAATACAAAATTTTTTTCAAAATATTTGGAAATACAAATTTTAAAAATAAATCATAAAAAAGTGTGAATTATATTTGGATTAAGCCTTAATTTTGAATTCTGGAAGAAGGAATCAAGTAAATTTAATTAAAAAAAAGTGATATTGATAAATATATATCAAATTCAATTAACATTGAGGTGCTAAAGTTTTGAGAGCTAATTTTTTAGAAAAAGTCCGATTTTGTGTCAAAGTACCTATATTAAAACAATGCTATATAAAAATCTAATGCATATCCTCGTCGTGCTTTCGAGACGTGAAAAACAAAAATTGAATTTTGTCAATCAACCCAGAATGGGATATAGAAAACTGTCCCCCCCTTTTTTGCACTGTGCATGTGACAATAGCCAGCACATGCTGTATGCATGTTTCAGTGCATGTGAATTTATATTCTTTTTATTCAACTGGCATTTTGCTGAACAGCATTTACTGGTTGTAAGAATATAAATATTGATCATTTAGACTTTTTTCTCATAAAAGTTCTTTTTTCTTGGAAAATGCGTCATTTTGTTCTTTATGAACAAAGCAGTACCTATAAGCCATAAAGACATTCAAATGCTTTTAGCCAATTCACAAAGTCCCCAATGAGTTGGACCTTTTGTGAGGGTGCAGATAATTAAACAATACCCATATTTGATTAACATCTTTTCCTACTTGTCAAAAGGTAAATATCATCAGTTACAAACTTTTACAATAAAAAGTCTTTTATTGGGATTGCATGTATATGTGAACAGTTTTTCACTGTTGAAAATTAATAAGTCTAACTAAAGTACCAGACTGACCTACGAGGATCAACAATATATGACTACAAAATAATAAGAAAACATCTAATAATTTTTCTCCAAGACTACAAACTTTATTAGAATCAAAATGCCATTAAGTGTCAAGTTGTAATAAGAAGGAAAGAAATTTATAATTATATACAAATTAACATATTTATTTTTTTCTGTGTGTGGTGAAGAAAAATTACGTAAATATACAAGAAAGGGAATTGATTGCCATTTCATTCTCAAATTTTGTCACATTTGGGAAGCTTTCATAATTGTTTATTTTAGATTTAAGCTGATAGTAAATTATTTAGTGGTTAATTCAGTGGTTAATATTGGAACTGTCTGAAATAAATAAATAAGTAATGTTAATGAAATAAATGCGAGTCTGAAAATTTTAAATCTAGCTATCAGGATGCTTAAATTACAAAATGTAACTAATAGAAATTTCTTGTATGTACCAACCTTTAAATTTCAGACAGAAAATAAATATAAACTTCAATATTTTTCTTTTCTGTTATAATTATTATTGTTTTATACTCACTATTTATTATTATTGTAGTTATACTATAATTTAATCAGTGTTTATCAAATGGCATTTACCTGTCTTAAGTATCTCATTAATAATAATTTGATTATTATTAGTTGTAATTTTTAGGGTGCAGTTGCCAAACCATTCATAATATGTTAGTAATATAGTGCATAAAAACATGGCTGCAAGTTACTGTATTTTCAAGCAGAGTAGTGGACTAGTTGGAAATAAGTTGCAAAACTATCTAGTTGCTTCATGGAAAATTTTATAGATGAAGCCCATATGTTAAAAAATTGAATTTCAGTGTGAACTTTTTTGCTGAAGAAACTTCAGATGCAAAATCTATATGACTTTTTTGTTTGAGCAGAAAATTATTTAATTTCGTTTAAGTAGCATTTTGAGTATATGAATGTTTTGTTCGAGATTAGTTTTAATTTTTCAACATGAGGTTCAAGTGAATAAATGTAGAATATTTTTATGAACAGAAATGCAAAAATACTCATCTTAAATTGAAAAAGCTATGATAGAATGCAATTGCAGCTGTTCTCACTACTTACATTTTATATAATTTCATGTTATTTATTATTACTCTGCTTATTTATTATTACTATGTTATTTATTATTACATTGTTAATAAGTAATTTCTATATATATTTTATTGAAAATCTGTATTTTATTTCACTTTTGTACATTAAAAATGTATGTATGTTTTAGTATTAGTTAACAGTAATATACCATAAAAGTGCTTAAAGTAGGTTTGTATATCATTAAGTAATGTAAATTCTTAAAGTAGGTCAAACATTTATTGAAAACATGACTTCTGCTTCAGTGGAAGGTAGATTGAGAAAGTCCATACTTGCTCATGTTTAGTTTTTGATCCTTCTATGATTATGAAAAGTTACAGCACTTTCAAAATGTTACTTAAGGTTGTTGTTTTTTTAATCTTAATCTGCCTGTTAACATTAAGAATGTTAAATCTGTTTTAATGTTAATTTTTAATGTTGTCAAATCAGTCTGTGAAAAGACAGCTACTATCAGATAGTATCTGTTGCATTAAATATTGTAGTTTGAAAGTTGACTATTATTTTATAAAAGCTGGAAGCTGCTTTAATAATTTTCATTTTCATGATGAAATTTATTGTTGAATTTCTTTATAGCTATCGAATACTATATAAAGAAAATAGTTCTTGATGATGGTAAGATTCTGTACTGTTTATGGGTATCACGGGATCCTGAAGAATACAAAGAATGTTCTCCAGCACCAAATTATACTATGAACCATTCTGAGACAAACAAGATGAATCGAACCAGAACTGAGGTTATTGAACTGCTTTAAAATTTTTCTTTTATTTTTAAAAAATTTAAAACTGAATAAAATAATTCAAGATTTTTATGAATATGCTGATAATAAATTTTTATGAATATGCTATGCATATTTTGATGAAATTCTTAAACATTTAGAAATTTCTTTAAGGTATTTGATATTGTTAATATTAAAATAAGAAAGAAAAAGTAGATAATGCTTTTAATAAATTTGGCTTGTGTAATTTTTCAGGGGTTCATCTGGTAATTAATAATAACAGACATAAAAAAATTTTTATTGCCTTTTTTTAAAATTAATTTACTTAAATTGTTAATCAGTAACAGGTAGATTAAATTTCAAAGAAAGATTAAATACCTTACTCCAAATAGCAACGAACTGGCATGTACAAGATAAAAATTCGTTATTTTAGGCAGTGGTAATACTTTTCTTTTAAATAGCTGAGTTCTTTTATTAAATAAAGATAAATATATGCTTGGCAGAGTGGCAACACATAGCTTTTTAATCACCAAGTGTGCTAATCAAGAATCCATTAAATTCATATAAAATATGAAGCAAATCAAACTAGGAATTCAAAATTCTGGCTACGCAATGTGCATGTTCAAAATTTTGCAGCTCTGGGTGCTACCATTTTTCCACAGTTTGAGGAACATACACACAGTTCTTTGTTATTTAATATTATAAGATAATGAAAAACCAACAGTACTTTTTTTAAGATTACATAATCACTAAGATGTTTAAAAATTAATTAAAATATTTAGTTTCATATCCAAGAGATTGCACTCATTTTGTTATAACATTTCTTAATTATTTTTCTAAATATTATATCTGGATTTTAAAAGTTATTAAATTTAATAAAAATGTTGGAATTTTTTTCTGTATTGAAGTGTGTTATGTAAAGCACTAGAAAATCCTTCTGTTAATTGCAGTAATAATGCAAATAGTTATAAAAATTAACTATTAAGTATATAATAAATCACGTGAAAGGTACATTATAAATGATGTTAATGATGGATATTATTAAAAATAAAAGATATAATTTATTGCTGCATAGTTTTAAAGTCTCATTTAATCACATTTAATTTTATGTCTCATTTGATGGCAACACCTCTGAAAACTGGTAGTTTATCAGACCATATGGTTGAAGAAATTAAGACCTTATATCCATGGAATGGCAGAACTTGTTAGGTTGTGAAAATGATTAATGCTATTCTATCCCAAAATCCAAGTATGATGTAAGGTGATATATTGTGACAAATGGATGGTTTAACCCGGGAGGACGCTCGCCGTATTATGTAACACGAGAACGCGCATGGGGTGTCAACACACCCCCAAGCAATTTAAATGGCATACAAATTAAACATATTATTACAATTCAGTAAAAAAATGCATTCTATATTAATTGCAACATTTATTATATAAAATAGCTTAAAATAATGCTAATTTTAAAATTAAAAACAATTCCCCCCCCCCCCCCCCCCCCGCCTCCAAATGTTTAGGAATTATTGATATCTATGAGAAATGTTTGTTTTTTATTTTTGAATGCAATTATAATCCAAATTATGCAGAATTATTACGTGAACAACGATTTTGTAATATATACATGAAGCGTCATTTCACAGTGCTCTTGACATATGTTTTTTACACTTCACACATATAGTTTTTGATTTTCTGTCTTTTTCCCTTAATTACATGTAACATCTCCTGTATTATATATTTTTTCTTTTTTTGTAGTTCATCAAATCATTTTCTGTAAGAAATTGGCCAATTCATTACAGGTACACCAATTGTTCTGTGGTAAAGTTTCTTCCAGATTTATATAATGGAGCTAGGATGCACTTTGCTATTTCACTAGAACTGCTGACTTGACGGCCCATCTGGCTGTTTACATGTGTAAATTTCCATGTTGAAAGCGTAGAAGGTTCTAGAATCGACCATAGCAAATATCTTTATACCATATCTTGCAGGTTTCTTAGGTATATACTGCCAAAAAACATCGTCCTCAAAAAGGTTCTAGATTTTCGTTCAATGTCATGTATTCCCCTACATGATATAATTTCTGCTAATTCTTGAAAAAATTTTCAAATAAATCTCTTATTTTGAGCTAATCTTTATCCTTTCTTATAAAATAGTCAGTTTGATCACAAGGAATGTCTTCTGAAGAGTCGCACTCTTCTTCTGATTCAGACTCATTATCACTAAATGTAACTTCATTATCTGAATCTTCTAATTCTTCTTCTATAGAATCTTCATCCAATGAAACCACCTCTAATAATTTTCAGTCTTTTCATTTTTTGATCATACGTCAAATGAGAAAAAGACCGAACAGAGCGACTTGCACATGCCATGGCTCATACTGAAAAATAGTACCACGAAAGCGTGCGTGGGGTGTCGGCAGACCCCAAACTATTATTTAACCAACAATAAATGCGCGGAATTTGCTTTTTCCTCTCGAGACGTATAGAACATAACCTTGAAGGCAGCTACTGATGGACCTAAGCATTTCGGATTGTAGGGGGAGATTGCCAGCGAATTGTTTTTAGCGTCTTCCCGGGTTAAGCTTTAATTGAATCTACTGTCAATCATACTTCACTATAATTGATTAAAATGTGAGGAACAGCATAGTTTTTACTAAACTTAACACATTTTGTACATGACCCTGTAGTTCATGCATTTTAAATTAAATGAAAAAATGTGTTGATTGTAATTTTAATTTTTAATCTTTTATAACTTAGGAAAGTGAAACAACTAGTAGCAGCTGCAGCTCTATTGTCTCTGATTCATTTTATACTGCTGGCAATTTTTCTGATAATTACACTGTTTTGGAACAAATTGGCAAAGGAGCATTTGGCTGTGTCAAAAAAGCATATCGTAATACTGATGGCCTCTTGGTAACTAGACAGAAATTTAAATTTTCTTAGTTTGTACAGTTAGCTGATTCTTTTAAAAGTGAGAATTTCATTTATAATTATTATTTCAGGTTATTACAAAGTTTATCAGAAAATCAGAAGTCTATAAAGAATTATGGGTATATGACAATAAACAAAATCGAAAAGTGCCTCTGGAAATAAGTCTTTTAACTACCATTCAGCATCCTAATATAGTTAAAGTAAGTAAATAAGCAAAATTTTATATGTAGCACTTTTAAGACTTGGTAATTTTTTATTTATAGCTTTCATTTATTAAATTATCTATACAGAGTAAGCCAGTATAATACTGCCATGTTTAATAACAATGCAATTTGGTTATTATGTTGTAGCGTTAAATTTTAATCTTATGTATCGATTTTGAATTAAGAGAAGGCTGTTTGAATTATCTTTTCATTTTGTATTGCGCTTTTTCTCAATATTCAAAAGCAAAATATCTTATATTTATTAAAAAAAATTTGTAATTTAATTAAAATATGGGATTTGATTATTTTTATCCTAATGTTAAGTACTTTATATACAAAAAAACTTCCCGAAAATAATATTGTTACATTATTTTCTTCCTTCACGTTCGTACGGGGTTCATGTGGATTTAGAGCGAATAACAACGACACTTCTTGATGAAGTAGCAAAACATACTTTATTGGCTAGTAATTTCAGGACAGCTCCAAAATCACATTTTACAGTCGTCGAAGATCTACTATAAACACGTTTACACAATCAGCGACACAGCGTTCACACTGTCAGGCAATAACGGTGGAGACAGCTTCACTGCAAAGCACCAGAGTACAGCTCCCGACTCTGCTCGGTCGTTCTCGGAACTCCACGTACTCTCAAGACTCTCCATGCTACAACTTGTGCTGCACTCGATGACACACAGAGTACAGCTCCCGACTCTTCGGTTCAGTCGTTCCTGAGCTTAACACACTCTCTCGACGATGCACTAACCACGATACACTAAGAGACGCTCTTCGGATGTATTCGACGCCTGCACTCGTTCAACTCGCTGCCCGGACTGTCAACTCGGAACGACTCCGCACAGACTGACAAACTCGAGACTAACTACTTTACTCTTGACTTTCAATGACTGACTATATCTAGCTCGCTAGATGAGGCACAGTAACTGACTGCGCACCAGTTGACCAGGTTTTATATAGCTTTCGACTTTTGTGTTCGAGAACATTCTGGGCTAAACCATTAAGAATTTGTTCCAAAAGGTTCTCCATCCGTCCATGGCATATCACCAAATGTTCGATTTCTCGCCAAGTATGGCAACCCTAAACCTGCTTTGCAGGGAAGCCATCTTACCGCGCCTGGACATTTCGTAACAATGTGTAAGAGTATTATAATTTCAAGCATTTATCAATCATTTTAACTATTTATTAAACTTAATACATTTCTAATTAGGCTAAACTGAAAGTGCTATCTGTTGTGAAAAGCGCATTCTTTCAAATGAAATTATTCGTTTATTTTGTCCCCATATTATTATGGATAATTTTTAAAACATTTCTTTTTTATGGGGGGGGGAGAAAAATAAAACTGTCTTCATACTATAACATTTTTATAATTCTTAATTTTTTTTTAACTAAAGAGTATTTTATTATTTTTTGAGATTTTCATGAAGATACTTTTATCAGACTATTTGCATATTAATGAAAATATCTGAATTATTGCTTTTAACAGTATGGTTACTTTTGTTATTACTAATCTAATTGGTGTTAGAGGCATATAATTATTGGTTAAATAACTAAAATATTAGTATGAAGAGAGAAAGTCAAATCTCAGAGAAATAATGAAATAAGAATACAGAAGAATAATATGTGCATTGTTTGTCATATTGTGAAGGAAAGAGGAACACTTTTTTCGAAGAAAAAGTAATTGTTATCCCTTAAGTAACACTGTTGATAAAAAATAAATCCTTTTAATATCTATACTGATAATTCCAAATGAATGATGAAAGATTGAAGGATTTCCTTGAAATGCTTAAACCAAATGTGAAGTTAATTATAAGGACATAATCCTTGCAGGAAGTATAAGTATAGGGATATTTTCCTAATTCCTTCCATGCAAAATCTTAGTTCTTCAATGAATAAATAAACGGATAACTGGATTACAGCAGTTCAATGAAATGAAAGATTAATTCACCAAAGATTTTGAAATCCCACAAAATGGTACCGGGAAAACATTTTCTCTCTACCTGTGAACAATAGCAATCTGTTTCATGGAGAAAAATCTTAAATACATTTCAGTGTCCAGAAACTTAAAAGTTCAATGTCACTGATCATATTATATTTAAGAATTATGATAATACATATTGTGAAAAAGATACTTATCATATTATATTTCAGAATTATGATAATACATATTGTGAAAAAGATGATGGCTTTAAAATACTTAAGCTGAAGTATTTTTCCATATGCTTGAAATAACAAGTTTCCAGTTTGATGTAAAACTTGCTGTTTTCTTGCTGATTTTTTGTCAGTATGGGAAAAAACAGGTACTTTTATTGAAAATATAGGAATTTTGTGCTGATATAAAAATTCATCCATTTAGTGATATTAATATATATACTAACATTTTCTATTAAATTGCAAATTTTTGTTCTTGGGAAAAAAGTGTATTTTTAATGTATCTTTTTTATCAGTTAAGTTGAATCAAATATTAATTATATGTTCTTCTGTGGCATAGCACTGGAGATTTTGAAAAGTTAATGGAGAATTCCTCAAGCATAATTTTTTATTATGTTTTATCTGTTCTAATAGAATTCTTTCTATATTCTAATGATTTATGTTTTTTCTATTCTAATTTCACTTCAGGTGCTTGATGTTTTTGAAAATGATAATTGTTTCCAAATGGTGATGGAAAAACATGGCTCTGGAATGGATTTATTTGAATTCATTGAACGTGACCCAAACATGGATGAACCTTTAGCTAGTTACATATTTAGGCAGGTAATGTGTCAAAAATAATAATTGAATATTTCCCTTTACTTTTTTCACATTTTTTACATGAGTTTCTAATATACATACACATGATGTATTAAAAGATGTTTTAAAATTAAAATTCTTGGGATATTTAGACATCTTTCTTTAATTTCATTGCACAAAAGCTGAGAATAATCTTTCTTCGCTTATGCTTAGGCATCCACGTGTACTGGTGAACAGTATATGTCAAATTTTTAGAGAACTAATTTATTTGAACTACTGTAGCTTTATTTATCTTGATCTGGGTAATTCATACTGATTCATCTTTAATTGTCTACATTGTTTTGAAGTTTAATAATCATTAACTTTGTTCCTTAAATAGTTTTATGTAATTAAAGAGTTATATATATTTAACATGTCAAGTGGAAAATGACTGAACTCATTTTGTGCATATTGTTATTAAAACATGGGCAATGACTAGCTCATTTTGTACAAATTGTTAAAGCGCAGGAGATGATAAAACTCGTTTTCTACAAATTATCAGTGGATTTTTGAGTGGCAAAGTAATATTTTTCCAATAACTTGATATTTTTATGCTAAATTCCTAAAAATGAACTACAGTAGGTTAGAATGTGATGATGAAAAATTGTATTCAGACAGTTTGTTGAATTATTCTTAGGACACTGCGCTTAGCAATGATTCTAATGATGACAAAGTTATGCAACATCTTATTTCAAGCAGTTTTGATTCAAGCTCAAATTTGGATGATTCTGAAGAAGAATGCTTGTCAGCACACAATGTACCAATTTGCCACTGAGGAATAAATACAGAAAAAATGTTCCGGATAGTGTAGGAGGTGTTGTAGCTTTATTTATGGATGATGATTTTCTTTTTCATTCCTTGTACAAGAGTCAAACAGATATTATTATTAAAATGTTGATCAATTCACAACCTCCAAGAAAGCCCTTAAATGCAAAGATTTTACAATGCAAGACATGAAGAAGATTTTGGAATTTATTCTTATCGGAGAAGTGTGTAAGGATCAAAAACAGGACTATTGGAGCATGGAAATTCAGGTATAGAAATGCCAGTTTTTCTTAAAATAATGACAAGAGACAGATTTCATCAATTATGGAAGGCCTGGTACTTTAATAATGAAGACTTAAATGAAGCAAGAGACTTGAAGAGAGACTTTTGGTTTCATAACAAATGAAAAGGTCTGGAAGAATCTGGAAAAGATGACTAGATAAGGATGAAAAATAGGTAGTTTTGCCATGAAGCAGAAGTAATTTTGCCCACTAATTGCCAAAAATCACCTATTGTATGGTGAAGAGTTTGGTGAGAAAACAACCGCTTAAGATTTGTTGACAAGTTACTCTTAGAAATGTTATTGAATTTTTTTCTTTTTTCTTTGTTATAACTTTAGTTATTCACTTATTGTTATTTTTAATAACAAAATTTCTCAATGGAAATAGTACATCACATCTTATATATACAGGATTATTATTTTATCTACATATCATATATTTACTATTTTAACTGTGAATACATGGACGTAGTTAATTCACATGTGTTTATTAGCTATAAGCAATTATATCTAACAAATTCATGTGTGCTGGGAAGCGAAACTAATTTTTATTTCATTTGCATTTTTAAACTGTGACTATAAGTTATTTTTTAAAATACATAATTTGTATTTTTATCCAGCTGTAAGGGAAAAAAATAATTTGTTAATTTTTCAGGTTGTTTCTGCTTTAAATTATTTACATAATTTGTTTATTCTTCACCGAGACATTAAAGATGAAAACATTATTTTGGATGAAAACTTTCATGTAAAACTGATTGATTTCGGTTCTGCAACATTTATGGGAGAACAATTATTTTCCACTTTTTGTGGTACTATGGAGTATTGCAGCCCTGAAGTGATACAAGGAAATAAGTAAGACTGCTAATATTTTACTTTTAATGTGATATTATGTGAATTTAAATGATCATTTGTTATTTATATTTGATAAAGGAAAGTATTGACATGCCCAGAATTTCATGACTTCTGGTATTGCTATCATTATTGCAGTTGCACTTTTTTTTAGCATTATATGTTACTGTTTTATGACTAATAATTAAATTAAGAGAGTGGTTTCCATTTATGCAAAATCAAGCATAGCATTTAAAAAAATATATAATATAATACACGCATCACTTAAAACATCTGAAAATTTTCACATTTTACTTTGCAATTTTGGCAGTTATATTCATTTGTGAATTATTCCATTAGAAGCAATCTTTGTTTGCTTGTACTCTAATATTTTCTCGTAGCTTATAAACAATATGTAGCAGCAATGCAATGTGAGACTGCCACTACTGTTTCTAAAAATAATGTTGAGAACTTTTGTACAAGCATAATAGGCAATGTAAAGTAATAACAAATTAGCCATATTAATCTGTTATTATATTTTTAGAGCACAAATAACAAATTCCTTCACGGTAATCTTCAAATGTGGTCATTTCTAAGAGTATGAAATGTTAATCTTAATAATTATAATATCTTCTGAATTTATAGTTTTCACTATGACAGCAAAACAATTTTTGTGAAACACAATAATTAATCTTTGCCAAATCATTAATTTTATTCTTTCTTAGCACAGTGTAATTTATCATATTGGCTTGATTGTAAGATTATAATACAGTAATAGTTTCAACAGTTCGAGCTTTATAAAATTAAAATTCTAAGAAAGGAACTGATTAACCTAAGGAAAAAATTAAGTATGCAAGCTTCATTGAATGAATATTTCAATGAGTGGTACAGGTTTTTAAAATTGCTAAATAGAATTTAAAATTTAAGGTTTTTGCCAAGTTTTTTATTTTATACATAAGATCCATTTTCTGCATTTAAAAATATTATTGAGTCTATAAGTATTTTTTTTATTATTATTTATTTTATTTATTTATTCAGAGAAATTGGAAGAATGTATCTTATTCAGAGTATTGTCCATTATTAGCTACAACCTTTCCCCATCTTTCAGGTAGCATACAGATTCTGCGTTTAAAAAATTACTCATCTTTTAAGACAATCTAAAAAAACGACCCAATTTTTGGCTTCTTCGTATGAAGTGAAATACTGCTTGGCCATATCATGAGTCATCGATCTGAACAAGTGGATGTCAGAAGGTGCAATATCTGTTGAATACGGCAGGTAGAGTAGGGAGTCCCATTGAAGTGCCTCCAAAGTTTCCTTGACGACTTTTGCAGCATGTAGGCAAGCGCTGTCATGCTGAAAGATCACTTTGTCATGTCTTTTGGCATACTGGAGGTGTTTGAGCTTCAATGCTTCATTCAATGTTACAATGCAACAGTTGATGCAACTGTTGTTTGTGACGTTCCCTAGTGATGGTTTCATAAGGCTGGAGCAGCTCATAATAAATCACTCTGAGCTGATCCCACCAGATGTACAGCATTAGCTTCTTGCCATGAATATTCAGTTTGGCTGTTAAAGTTTTTTGATGCATGACTGAGCTTACCCCTCGATTTTCTGCGCTTTGGTTTGCTGTAGTAGATCCAGTTTTCGTTCTCCACCATGATTTGATGCAAAAACTGCTTCCTATTTTGCCTTTGAAGCAGTTGTTCGCACATGAAAAAACGACGTTCGACGTCTCTTGGCCTTCAGTTCATACGGAACCCAATTTCCTTGTTTTTGCACCATACCATGGCCTTGAGATGCTTTGAAATCGCTTATTAAGTCACTCCTAAGGTTTTGGTGAGCTCCTCTTGAGCTCGGCATGAATCTCGGGCCATTGCCAAAATCGCCGCTTTTGAAACGCTGGAACCAGTACTCACATAATAAGTTATTTCTCCCGCCCTCTTAGCATGCCTTCGTAGTGTAGTTGTCAGCATGCTCAGCACATATTCGAGAGGTCCATGATTCAATTCCTGGCGATGGCAGTGCTCATTTTTCACGTCTCCTGTCTCAAAATAATCTAATGTCTCTATAGTGGCGCCTGAACTAAAAAAGGTGGTAGATGATGATTCTCGACCTTCAGGATTTGGCGACTAGGTCCCCTAATCCCAAGTTGCCCTTTAAAAGGAAGAGTATATTGTAATATCTTGTAATTTAATAAATAAGTATAATTATTGTTGAAGTGGCAACACCATATTTGTATCAAACGTTACTCAGCAACGAGAGATATTGTTAAAAAAGTGTGTATTCTGAAGATTTTACAGCTAGGAGTAGGATGAAAATTTTGCCACTTAAGAATTGCATTAAAATTTGTCTATCACCGTGAACTAGAACTTTATGTTCTACTAAGAGATGTCTGTTTTGTAAATTACTGCAAAATACATTACAGTCTTAATAATTGGAGGTTCCCCGAGATACTGGAAATTAGGAGTGCAATTATCAATTTCGATGGTGATGGTTTCCTAATCCCAGAATTTATGAATTTTTTACAACAAGTTTGCTAATACCAATTGCCAGTTTGTTATTTTCAAGGATAAATGGATGTAAGAAGTCTGCCGTTTTAACGCCAGATTTGAAGGATCAATCAAAGATTATCTTCTGTGCTTCTGTAACTTGCGTCCGAGCAAAAACTGTCAAAATAGGATACTGCGATCTTGAAGATAACATTAACTTTGGTTGTTCTTAAAAAAAAAAAAAAAAAAAAAGATTTATTGAATTTTTAATACTTTGTTTCAGAATTATAGTTTATCGTGTAAGATTTGTTTAAAATAACTAATGCTAAAAATATTCAGCTTAAATTATAATTGATATTTGTGGTAAAGAAGTATTTAAAATTATTATTATGCTTTACTTTTATTTGTATTGAAATTTTTGTTGATAATTGAGATGTGTAGCCATCCGGCATTAAAAAAAAAAAAAAAAAGAAAAAAAAAAAAAAGAACTGCTAGCTGAGTTTTGAATTTGTTGCCAAGCAGGCGCGTGGAAAATAAAGTAATAACGTCAAACTGACATAGAGGTGAATTGATTATACTGCAGGATTGGCAAAGTCTAAGTTCTTGCATCCAGGCGTTGTGGTAGATAGTAACGTCATCCCGACGTATTTACGATTGATATTCTAAAAAGTTGTATTGCAAACTGGCAAAAATTGTTTTGTTATCGCCAACCAGGCGTGGAGAAGATAGTAAAATCGTCAAACTGACATTGGTAAAATTCCATTGTATTGCCTAACTGGCAAAGGTGTTTATATAGTACAGCACGTGCTGTGAATAGTGAGTTAAAACGTCAACCCAACGTAGTATTAAATTATTTTGTGCCAACCTGCAAAGTTGTTTAAAAATTCTCTCCATTGGTTAGTGTGAATTTCGTATTCGGAAATTAAATCTCGCCGAAATTATATATTTTTATACAAGTATGAGAATTATATTGAATTTCAAAAGGAAGCCTATTAAAAGTAACTTGTGTCAACATGTCATTCTTAGCTAGGAGTAAAAAAACAGGATTTAAAAGTACTAGCAGAAGAGTTAGGTTTAACCGTGAAACCTGAATTAAGATTGCTCAGGTGCATAAACTGATTATGAAGTCCCGATTATGAAGGAAGTACTCGAGAACTACTGGCGCAATTAGAGAAAATGGAACGAAAAGAAGAAAAAAGAGAAGAAGAGAAGAAAAGGAAGAGAGAAGAGAAAGAAAAGAAGAGAAGAAAGAGAAAGAACGCGAAAGGAAGAAGGAAGAAAAAGAAAAGAAAGAGAAGAAACCGCAAAGAGAAAAGAAAGACAAGGGAACGCGAGAGAGAAAAAAAGAGAGCTTGAAGGAGAAGAGTGGAATGAGCCTTTGAGCTACAGAAACTTCAGCTGGAAGCAATGGCTGCCACAGCACAGCCGGCAAAACTACGCAGTTACCTGAGCGCCTTTTAAAAATCAGAATTCACGATGTTGTCTGCCACGTTTCAACCCTAAAGAAGATGAAATAAGTTTTCCTGGTGTTATTTGAGTGTCAAGATAAATAATGAATATACCGCTGATCAAGGACTCAAAATATTTCATTACTGCCTCCTGACATTGTTAGCTTATTGCTGGAGAACCGAAGAGGAAGAAAAAAAGTATGAATATGTAAACTTTTACTGTTCAACGATTTAAATTGACTGCGGAAAAATTTCAACAACTATTTAATAAACACCCAAAATCTACTGAAATACTTGGTATGATTTCTACTATGAATTAAAATTATTTAGAAGGATGGCTTAACGATTAAACATTAAACTTTTGAACAGCTAAAAGATCTCATGCTGGTTGATCAATAAAAAAGTGTACTTCTCCTGATTTCAAAGAACATTTATGGATCAATGGACAACATCGTTTCACCTACTGAAATGGTTAAGAAAAATTGAAGATTTTGAAGATGTGGAGAAACAATAAAACCGAAATTTTCTACCAATCAGACTGAGAAATTTAACAAAGGATCATTTAAACCGCGTTATGATAATTTTGTGAAAAAAATATAGCATCCGCCTCATTTTAAGCATTCTGATAGATGGGCTGATTCAAATCAAGAAGATCATCAGCAAAGGAATCAGCCAAAACAAAAACCAAGAAAATTTATATGACAAAAGATATCGACACGTTGTTTCGAGTGTGATCATATGAACATTTTAAGCCTCAGTGTCCTCGCTTAAACAAATGAAAAAGGTAAATTGCATATCTTTCAAATGATGATTTGTTAAGAACAATTAACAGTTTAGTGAATGGGTATGAAATGCCTATTCTTCGAGAGACAGGGGCCACAGTTGATGTTATTTCTCAAAAATACATTGATAGCGCAAAAATGCCTGGAGAACATGTCTGGGTACAATATCTTTTAAATTACCATTTAGTGTGTCTACCGTTAGCGGAAGTTGAAATTAATTGCGAACTCGGTCATATAAAGACAAAGGCACCTGTTGCTACAAATGATCCTGGAAGATATGTATTGGGTAACAAAACTGCACAATAGTTCAAAAATAAATCATTTTTAAATTTAGAAAAAATAAAGGCGGTTTGACATGATTTCAAGTAAACGATCTCGAGAAGGAGATCGAAAGTAGAGGACACTGAAATGGAGAAAAAAAACAACTCTGTATGAGTCTGACGAAGATATTTTACCCGCAAGCTGATGAGAAAGACAAGGAAATTAAGAAAGTAATTAATGCTAATTCAAAGGATTAATTGAATCTCAGCATCAAGCAGAGATCTAGCCTCATTGCTTAAGCGAAGCTAAAGTGAAAATTTCGGAAATGATTTCACAGTAAAGAGAACGAGCTGTTGATGAAAAAGAAATTATATAAAATGGAAAGAAAATGAAATAATTGTTATCCTGAAAATATAGGGATCAAATGACGAACGACACAAACTTTGATGCAGAACCAAACAATAATAGTGCTAAACTCAGAATTTGATCAATACGAACCCTCCTAAGAGTCAAGCCTCTTCAATGCTTCACAGAAAACAGACACCACAATCTAAGCGTTCATCTACTGATGAGAAGAAACTGAAATTATTGATATGGATGTGATCACCTTATTTACTGCTGATTCATCTCTGTGATATGTATAGAGTATCTCCTACAGTTTCCCCAGTTCCTTTTTCTCCAAAAAGCAAAGTTGTGTTGACAGTTTGTTAACAGCAGATAAAAGAATTCTGACAAAAGAACTCAAGGTGCTTCTAAAGCTAAAAATACGTTCAGAATCTATGCACGCGTCAGAAAACTTAGCAAAGAGCACAATATGATAAAGGATACTCAAAGTTGCCACATTCATGAGAGTGCAGTAAGAGATAAGACAAAGATTCATTTCGCAAAGAGCAAAACTATCTGACAAGAAAGAACTGAAAAAATTAAATGATTCTCAGTTAAAAGTTCCAGATGAATTGCCAAGTTCTGGAGTTGAGATGAAAGTCAAGGAGAAGTTTTTAAAGAAAAAACTAAACAGACAAGAGCAAGTTGTTGAAGAAGAAAAACTGCCAAAAGCCTCTGTTACACTCACCTGATTCAATAAGGAGTTTATTTTGCAAAACTGATGTTTCAGACTCTGGTATGGGGTGTCATTTTAGCTAAAAAAGATGAACGGGACAATGAACACCCAAGTATTATACCTCAGTAAGAAGTTTACAGAAACTGAAAAAAGTACTCTATCACAGAAAAGGGAATGCGCCGCCATAATATTTGCTGTAAAGAAACTTCAATGTTATTTAGACGGGGGCATCTAAATTCCTCATCATGACCGATCATAATCCCTTAGTTTGGCTCAAAAATAATGTGAGTCTAAATCCACGACTCATGAGATGGGCACTAGTACTACAATCCTACAATTACACGATCGTTCATCGAAGTGGTAAAAACCATAAAAATGTAGACGCATTAAGTCGTACTCCCTGGCCTGATTAAATAATTTGTTTCTCTATATAGATAAAAAAATATTTTGTTCCTTCCTCTCTTCCTCAGTGTATCTTATTATGTTATATCTTGTATTTCAATTCTGTATTGTGCTGATATTGTTGTTTTGAGGGGGGGGAAACGTAAACTTTCATTTATAAAAATATAAATTAAAGTAATTAAAGTTTATCTGGAGGGGGGAGAGGTTGTAATATCTTGTTATTTAATAAATAAGTATAATTATTGTTGAAGTGGCAACGCCATATTTGTATCAAACTGTTACTCAGCAACGAGAGATATTGTTAAAAAAAGATGTGTATTCTGAAGATTTTACAGCTAGGAGTAGGATGAAAATTTTGCCACTTAAGAATTGTATAAAATTTGTCTATCACCGTGAACTAGAAATAAAATTTATGTTCTACTAAGAAGATTGTCTGTTTTGTAAATTACTGCAAAATACATTACAATATAAGGTATTTCTCCCACCTTCTTGGCATGCTTCGTAGTGGTCAGCACGCTCGGCTCGTATTCGAGAGGACCGTGGTTCGATTCCCGGCGAGGGCAATGCTCATTTTTCATGCCTCCTGTTTTGAAATAACGTAATGTCTCTGCAACATGTTTTTATTGATGGAGTATGTTTCCCATATGCTTCAGACAGCGATCAATGTCCATCAGCTGTACTTTTCTTCAAATTAAAACAAAAAAGAAGTACTTCCCACAAATTTTGTTTTGTTGGTACAAAGGTTGACACAGGTTGAGCACAAAGAAAGTTTGTTGTTTACACTTCAGTGATATGAAACAGACGGATTTTTAGGCTGAAATGCTGGAGCTTTAACATGAATATAGTTACAAGATTGTCTAATAGGATTTAATACTAGTAACACTATGTGTAAATCACTCAAAACTTATTTGTACATCAATATTTACTTATATTAATTTGGAGAGTTAAGCGTAGGATGCATTCAGCCTCCTAAGATTTGATTTTTTTTTTTGACTGATTTGCTATTGATCCTTTTGATTAATTTTTAAATCTAATATGTTGATGATAATAATATAAATATTTTCATGCCTTGTATTTAGTTTTGTGTATATCATGCAACAAGTCAGTTCTCAAGTAAATAAGTTGCATTTTCAGCAACTTATTGACTGAATTTTTAATTTTGATCACTTTTATTTAATTAAACAAATTTCTCTTCCCTCTTTTCTCTTTAAAATTTGATTTCCACCTTCCATTTAGGTATCGAGGACCTGAACTTGAAATGTGGTCACTTGGTGTAACACTTTATACTCTTATCTTTGGAGAAAATCCTTTTATTGATGTTGATGAAACTCTCAAGGGAGAATTTGTTATGCCTCATGAAGTATCTAAAGGTATCTACCTATGCTGTTTAACTTTGAATCTTAATTTCTCTTAAAGTAAATATTAGTAAACTATACAACTTAATTCTGTCTTTATTTATTTATTTTTTAATTTCTGAAATTTTGTTTAAATGTTATGTATTATTGGCATGTTAAATTTTCTCTGTGGCTTGAATTATCAGAACGGCACTCCAAATTGTTACTTTTGGTTTATTAATAGAATATGTATATATATTCTATTAATAAACCAAAAGTAACAATTTGGAGTGCATTCAACTGTATGCTGGGGAAATCATATTTCAAAAGCAAATATGCTGCCTCTACTTTCATTTGCACTTTCCCTAACTGTGACACTTCTCCATTTGCAGCCTCTAACAGAGGCTTCCTTATAATGCTATCTGTTGGCAGATTATATTTGGCTATTCTGACATGGAAATCTTCCTGATTGTTAGAGGAACTAATTAGTTTTTTAATTATTACATATTTCTGCACTAAATTGGCAATATGTTTACATTAATCTTCTAATGCACAATATTCATTATTGATGCATTACAAAATACAGGTTATGCTAAAAATGACATGATAATGAACATGCTTAAATTTATATGAGTTGTTAAAATGCATTAGAATAATGAAATAATGCAAATTCTCCCTAAATTATTACTTAAATTCATAATAAATTGGAAATAAACAATGATTCATTATCAGTCCTAAAATAATCAAAATATAATATAATGCATAATAGGTCTTTCAGTGTTAAATATCCAGTCTTTTAAAACCTTGTCAATGTGGTCGCACGATTTGTCAGTAATCCCATGTACACACAACAAAGCGAAACAGATAAAAAAATTCTTGTGTTTAATTACAGTAAAATTGACCATTATTAATCCTTACACATGGATCATCAGTGATTTCATCGAGGAATCGATTTTAGAACTGGTCTGTATCTTGGTCCTCATCAGTATCATCAGATCTGGGTTTACAATTCCTCAGTTCTAGCTCACTCACATGAGTAGTAGTGGTGAAATAGAGTTCTCGATCATTCACTTCTCTTTGTGTTACTTTGAAGGTATCACTGGGTAATACTTCCATTATAAATGTTCCCCAATATTTCGGCTGTGTTTTGGTAGGTTGGCTTGTAGTTTTAGGAGCACATCTCATCACAAGGATTTCTGCTTGTTCAAATATTATTGTCCGACATCTCTTTCTATCGAATCTGTCTTTTATTTCCATTTGCTGCTCTTCAGTTCGTCATTGTGCTTGCTATTGGATTTCTCACAGGTTATCTCAAGTGTCTACATTTTTATTTGCTAACTTCCTAAGAACAACACCATCATTAAATTTGGGGAAATATCCATGTCACATTTCAAATGGTGTCTCGTTCATAATTTTTTTTTACCATGTTGTTCAGATTTCCTTCTAACTCATTTATTTTGTTATTCGAATCTCCAGGCTGTTTATCCAACAAGCTTGTCATTATTGTTCTTAAAATTGTTCTGTTAACATACTCCACTGCTGGCTTGGGAATGTTCTTGTATTTTTATAATTTACTTTCATATTAGAAGCTTTCTCTTTGTCTTTTTTATCAATCAAAAGTACAAATTTCTTCTTCTTTTTTTTTTTTTTTTTTTTTTTTTTTTTTTTTTTTTTTTTTTCTCATAGAAATAAGTGCCTTGCATACATCTTTTGCATTATAATTTTATTACTTAATTAGTGTTTCTGCTGCACATTTCTTCAAAGTTCTGATGTCCATTTTGTCTCTGAACAAAACAGGAAGTTCTCATTAAGCACTTGGAAGCACTTGGCCTCCTTCATCCCTTTTGTTGGGGACGAAGTTTCGCCTGAGGGTACGAGTTCGCCGTGTTCAGACTCTAGTGGACAACTTTTTCCGATTTCATTTCTTGATTGACTCGGAGTTCGAGTCTTCACCACGTTTACTTGAAAGGAAAGTTTATCGTGTTAATCTGTTGCTAATTTTTCTGCAGTTCTGTTTCCTAACAAATAATGGCCAGTGTCCAATTCATTTCGAATGACCGCAGCTTTCGTTGTTACTTAGCCAAAAGTTCCTTCTATTGTAACATTTGCTAAGGGTAAACAAATTGGGGCCTTTTCAAATGGTTATTTTACCCAAACAGTCTCGCCCGTCAGCATCGAAGGAGTGAGATATTTCTTGCAAATTACATCAATGTATGACCCAGTATCTCTCAAAACTGGAAGATCAAAACCGTTCACTTTAGCCATCGTTAGAAACGGGGCTAAACAATCTTCTTCAATCTCCTGGACTCTATTTACAATAAACAGAGTTTTGAGATCCTTTTTAACTTCCGGACATTGAGGCCTTAAGTGTTCGGTTGAACTACACGAATAACACTTAAGTGGTCTTCTCATATCAAATTGACGCTCATTCTGATTCCGGAGATGTTCCTTTCTGTCAGAGGCATATCTTTCTTCCCCTCCAGTCTGGTGATACTTTTGTGGATCTCTTGAATTTAAATGATTTTTATTTCTCCGTTGTGACTCAGAACTATGAACAGAAGATATCTTCTTCCGGGTTTCACATACGTTTTCATACTCTTCTAGCATTTTTGCTAATTTATCTGGAGTCGTTATCTTCGACCATTCATCAATAAAATACTGCTGCACTTCGACATTTACACGGCGCTTCATTTGGTCCATTATCATGAGATCTTTTAAAAGTTCAAAATCGGTAACTTCCAAACCTGCAATCCATTCTTCAAAATAATTCCTTAATTCAAAGGCAAAATCTCTCCAAGTAGTTCGAGTGTTTTTCTGGGATTCCGTAAATTTGATACGAAATTTTTTTGTACTAAGCTTAAACCTTTTAAGCAATATCCTCTTTATGTAATCATAGTCATAAGCCTGCTGCTGTGGTTCTTACATAATCAGCTGAACTATGTCAGTTGGCAAAATGGTCAATAAAACCGAAACCCATTCTGACTGGAGAAGATTTGCACGCTTTGCTTGGCACTCAAACATGACTAGATACAATCTAATGTCATTCTCTTCAGGATCAAATTTTGGAATCATTTTTTTTTAGATCGTAACGGCTTTTCTTAAGTCCATTTTCTTCATTCCTGCCATTTACAGAGTCATTTCCGTTAGCGGCTAGTAATCTTTGATAATTCAAATTCCATTTCTTCTGTCCTAATTCTATCTTGCCTCTCTTCTTCTTTCCTAATTCTTTCCTGCCTCTCTGCAATTCTTTCCTGCCTTTCTTCTTCTTCTCTCCTAATTCTTTTCTGCCTTTCTTCCTCTTCTCTCTTAATTCTTTCCTGCCTCTCTGAAGTGATATTTTCTAACAGGCCTTTCACTAGTTCCTCCTCATAGGATTTATTTCCCATAATCAGCTGTCTTAAATCCGATATCCTAACTTCAGGGCTAACTTTTTCCCCTAACTCTTCAGCCAAGGATTTAAGGTCCTCTTTCCTAACTTTTGCTAAGAATGCCATGATATAAAACAATGTGCTAATAACCTAACAAATTTAGCTCCCTCACACTACATATATATATATATTATTGATTTAAACAATTATCATTTTCACAAAGAGAGAGTACAATTGAACCCTTAATTTTTTTCACAACATATTTTACAGATCTTAAACAAAAATTCAAAACATTTTACAACATAATATGCACATTATGCGTTCAAATAAAAAATTGTCTACTTGAGGACTTATGAAACTATAGATAATATTACCCTCTTAAAAGTTTCAAAATCAGTTGCTTATGATAATACAATACACTTTCATCAAAATTTGAGGTATATTAAAATATGCATTTAAAGGTTAAATATAAAAATCATATATCTACATGCTCATAACTAAACATTAATATGACAACCGTTAAAATGAAAAATACTGGGGATTTGTAGCGTTCCCATTTTACTCATTCAATAGAAAAAATTTCTCAGTTCTTACACCAATTAATATTTATAGTATTCAAGACGTCTAAGAAATGAATATCAGAATACCACCTATCTTTAGAACCTTCAAAGTTACAGTAATTCTTCTCCTTTACACCTTCAATTATATAAGCTTAATTTGAGCACAGCACATTAATTTTTCAGATATCAAAAAATCTATTAACACAGATTTAAATTTTTAAAATTTATACTTCTTATTGTAACATAAAACCCAAATAGCACATTTCTTTAAGCTTTACAGAAACAAAGTTGGCTTAAAACAGTTATGTGAATTTACATACTAAATTACAGAAATAAATTAAATTACTTTACTGCCTCAATATAAAAATCCAAGGTACTTACCCTTCTGGATTGTAGACTCGAATGGTTGATGCTTGGAAAAAAGAATGCTGTCACAGCTTAAGATTTCTCACAACTTAAGATTTTTATGGACACTGAAGATCCAAGCACTTATATCACAACACACTACAACTTTCACAGCACTGAACACCATACAATGCACTGATTTCTCAGGCACAAAGATGATCACACACGTATCACTTTTTTTTTCTCACTACACTACACATTCACAATGATCTGATGATCTTCAGACAAGGCTTGTCCATACACTTCTGCACTAATTTTTCTCAAACACAAGATAATCGCACAATTTATGCTGCTGAAGATGAACTGTATTCAGGAGACTGTCTTTCCTTTTTATCTGGACTGTTGTCCGTAAACTTCTTTGTGGATTCTATCTCACTGCTTCAAAGAGCTGTAAATCACTTTTCCGAACTGAAGTTCGTAACTTTTCGTGCTGCACTTCAGAACCTTGCGGTCTGTAATATCTGCAAAACATTGATGATGTTCAGACAATGGCTGTCCTACAAACTTGAGATGAATTTCAGAGCCTGGCGGTCTGCAATCTCTGCATGGATTTTCTCATCAGAACCGCTGCCACCATTTTAATAAAGCTGTAACATCAGAACTCTCATGTTGGGTGCAAGAAAAGACAGGTTGTTTTTTAAAATATTTATTTTAAATACTTAATTAGAAATTCTTGATTAAATAGTAAAATAACTGAATCATTACAGCCATAAATTAAACAAAAGCCGCTAATGCTAAAATGCGTTCGCTATCTCTTGTTTACAGCATCAAAAAGCTTGTTACACAAAGCTCTCTCTTCGTTTTGTTAAGAAACTTGGAAAGAGAATAATTCGTCCCTTATTCCCGGAAACCACACGAGGGGGTTTCCACTGCACATTTCTTCAAAGTTCTGCCGTCCATTTTGTCTCTGGACAAAACAGGAAGTTCTCATTAAGCACCTGGAAATCCGAGGGGTGCATATGTCTAATCATCACAATATGTACAGACACCATGAAAAAAAACCTCTTCTGAATCTATTTTAAATTAATTTTATAATTCATTTTGGGAAAAAGAGTCCATTATTCTGTTTTTACATACAGATGTCACGCAAAAATTTCATTAAATTCCATTTGATAGTGGTCAAAATGGATATATTTTCGTTGAAATATGGTACCTGGAATTTTTCATGATTACAATACTTCCTTTACTTCATACAAGGAAGTGAAAAAGTAAACATAATTAGTCCTTGTTCTCAGAATAAGGTTATACTAAGCATCATATTTAGTTTTAAAAAGGAAAGCTATTCTTGTGTATTATACTTTTTTAGCATAAATTATAGTTAAACTTTGTGATAAAACCTATTTATATATATTAAAAGAAAAATTAGGGGAAAATTGTATGATTTTCTGTCTAAACTTCTGAAATGCATTTTAATGAATTTTTACTTCCTTGTATGAAGTAAAAAGGAAGTATTGTAACCGCGAAGAATTTCGCGTATCGTATTTCAATGAAAATATCCATTTTGACCACTATCAAATGCAATTTAACAATATTTTTGCATGGCATCTGTATGTAAGGACAAAATAAAGGACTCTTTTCCCCACAAAAGTTATAAAACTGATTTAAAATGAATTCTGAAGACGGTGGCGTCTGTACGTACTTACATAAGTATGTATGCATCTCTCATAACTCCAAAATGTGTAGCCTTGAAAAGTTGGAATTTTGTATATAAGACTGCTATACCATGCAGATCTGCACCTCCTATTTTGGTGCAATCAGCTGCACCAAAAGTATGTAAATATATGTAGCTATATAGTTAAATTAAATTTAAATAATTTTTCGTTCTCTATTTGTAAAAAGCAAATTTAAAGTTAATTAAATTTTAAATGAAATTGAATTACAAATAAATGATTAATTATTGCTGCGAACTAATCTACAGTATCATTTAAATTCTGAGAGCGTATGTAAATCAAGTGCAAGTATCAAAATCTAAGAATAAATATATAATTCCAATGAATTTTTTAATCCTAAAAATTTATAAAAATGCATAAGGGAATAATTGTTGAGCAGACAGGAGACAAACTTATCAAGGGGAAGTTGCCTGTCTTATATATATAGACTTGCATAGCTATATATATATATATTGTTACGTTATTTTCTTCCTTCACGTTTGTATGGGGTTTCGTAAATTTGGAGTGAATAACGACGACACTTGATGAAGTATCGAAACACACTTTATTTAGCCAATATTAATCAGGACAGCTCCAATAACACTTTTTACAGTCGTCGAAGATCTATTAAAAACATGCTCAAACAATCAGCGGCACAGCACTGTCAGGCAATAATGGTGGAGACAGCTTCACCGCAAAGCACCAGACTACAACTTCCGACTCTGTTTGGTCGTTCTCGGAACTCCACATACTCTCAAGACTCTCCACATGATGCACTCGACGATACACAAGAGTATAGCTCTCGACTCGGCACAGTCTAAGACAAAACTCGACAATGCAGTAATTCGCAATGTACTAAAAGACTCTCTCGATGCATTCGGCGCTAGACTTCGAGACACTCGCTCAATGACTATCAGCTCGCTAGACAAGGCGCACACACACTAACTGACTGCGGGCCAGCAGGGTTTATATAGCTTTCGGCTTGTGTTCGGGAACATTCTGGGCTAAACCGGTAAGAATTCGTTCCAGAAGGTTCTCCAACTGTGCATGGCACATCGCCAATTTTGGCACCAAATGGGCGATTTCTCACCAAATGTGGCAACCATGTCCTCCTTTGCCATTTTATGGCAACCCTAAAACTGCTTTGCAGGGGGCCATCTTACTGCGCCTGTACATTTCGTAACAATATATATCCACTCTGTTACTCGGCTCATTTTTTTTAATCTTATATGTTAGTAAATTGTGCATTTTTTGCTTTATGATGAGTTAATTTATTAAATGATTTAATTATGTTTTTATTGTCTTCTGGTTAAGGTTTTCATGCCTTTAGTTACCCTGCATGTTATAGTTGTAGAATTATCAACAATTTAAAAATTGTTCAAGTGCAGCCAAGGCTTATTTTTTATTTTATTTTATTTATTATTATTATTATTATTATTATTTTGCCATAGCAGCCATATTTGTTTACCTTAGCAGAATAGTGGATTTTTTGCAAAACTAGAGAAATTAAGCTTTGCAATAACAAAGTAATGTCTTCTTTTATCATTGCAAATTAAATTATGCTTAATCCATTCTGGAATAAGAAGAAACTAAATGAGAGGGCATCTAAGTTTGAAGAAAGAAAAGAATCTATGCAATTCATTATTGACTATCATTTTTTATTATTAAATTTACAATTTAATTAAGTGCACTGTAATGCCATATATTATTATAATAGTTTTCAGATTGAAGGAGATTTCTAAGAACTTAAAATCATTTTAAAGATTCTGTTGTGATTTAAAAAAAGACGTTTAGGAATAATTTGCTCATTTGAATGAAATCAAATTTGATATTATCAATTACTTTTTACTCTTTGTTTCACATATTGGAGCATATTTATTAAGATCCTTTACTTTTTAGATCTTTCAAATTTAATTCATCATTTACTGGAACTAGACCCTGTAAAAAGGTGTACTTTGATGGAAGTTGTGCTACATCCTTGGGTTAACCAATCTGTTAATTTAGACAATTACAAGTTTCCTGAGGTTGTCAATGCAAGTAAGTGTGAGACAAGTGCTTTAACTGTGATTATCATTAACTTTATTTTCTTTCATTTCAAAGAATGCAGTTTTTTAAAATAAAGAATTTTTAATTCTTTTAAATGTATTCAAGGAATGTGTTCTTAGAATGAAGATTTTTTTTATTTCTTTTAAAAATACCTGAATGACATTAAAAATTAAATATATTCAGTATAATTTTACTGCAGAATGTTTCCAAAAATGCTTGTGGGGATGCTCATATGGCAATTCTGTTTGAAATATAGGAATTCAAAGTAACATTCACCAGAACATTTGCTTCAGTGCTTCTAATATTCCTGGAAGCATTGGCAGAATGCTTCTTTTGATATGTGTCATAGAATGGCCATTGTATTGCTTTCAACAGTAAAATTATCCCAATGGGAGAGAACAGTGAAGTGGCTGAGTAATTGTCAATTAAAATTATTGAGAGAAAAAAAGAGTTTTGTTTCTGATCTAAGAAATTGTAACTTTATTGCTCAAAATATGACACTGTGCCCAATGATGAAAAAGTTCTTGCACTTCATTTCTACTACAGCCTGAACTCTCTTGTCATGACGATGTCACTTCATATGCGTCTTCAGTAAGAGAGTATGCTAATCCCCTTTAATAGCTTAATACAATTATTGAAAGTTTTATGTAATGTGACATGATTTTTCTGCAGTGGTTATGAACAAGAAGGTGATTGTCCCAACCGGGGCAGTGGTTATCAACACTGACTGCCGTACCGAAGGGCCTGTGTTCAAATCCTTGAGAAGGCAGGGATGTTTGTAAATTTATAGTGCCCGTGCAGCATGGGGGACTCTCTAAATATGTGGTGAGCCGAAGTTCTCTCAAGAGGTTGGTGGAAGGGGAAGAGAGTTGGGCGGACCTGCACCCCCCCAACTGTCAATGAATTTTGTGGGCTTGTTCTGATGTTACTATCAGACAAGTGAGAAATCACAACAACAGGTGATTGTGACAGCTGCTTTCAGTGGTCATGCATGCTTTTCAAATCTCAATGAGAAGTTTTTATGGATGAATGAAAATGAGTTGGTGATACTGAATCATATATTATTAGGTGATGAAGGAAATTTTTGACATAGTAGACAATTTTTATCTCAAGATTATTATGGTTGAGAGTGATATTCGCATGAATTCTAAGACATAACTGAAGGGCTGTGTTGGAATTGCACCTTGCTTTGTCTGCAGTGAACAAAGCACAGCATAGGATTATTTGTTCTTTGATATCTGAAAGTATCTGATATTTGTTCCTGAGCCAAAACTATGATGGATATGTGGTAAACATGCATTGTCCAAGAATTATGTCACTAAGAGGGCAGTGGCATTTTTAAATTATAGGGAAAGTATCAGCTCAGATCCTGCTTGTACACATGTAGCTTTTACTTCTGATGTTTCTTTGGGTGGGAGAAATAGTATATGTTGGCTGATAAGTGCACTGAGCATGCATTGTTCAAAGAGTCATATTGAAAGTGCAGAGCAGTTTTGAAGGCATAGGAAAAATAACTGTTTAATCGATGTCTTCATTAGGTATATGTGATTTTTATTCCAGATTGAGGAATTAGTGTGCACTAACTGATGAATAATGGAGAATTAACTTGCTGTTGCAATTTACATTAGTCTTGGAACATCCTTAGTGAGCACCGTGGATATACAAAAGTGTATGAAAATTGAGCTGCATGATATCTGACATAAAGGGACAGGAAGAAGTGGGCAGGGTATTAGAAATTTATCATTCATTGCACGGGTGCAGTTCTGCCATGCTATCTCTACAGCTTCTGATGGAAAACTCCCTGGTGGGACAGTTTGCCACCTCACTTTCTATGCCACCAAACCTTTCAAGAAGTCTCTCAGCTCACCAGTATTTTAAATGCATCGACAGATTTTATATATGCTGCACAGATACAGCACACTCGTAAGCATTTAAGTCTTCAGGATTCAAACCTAGACCCAGTGATATATATATATATAATGATATTTGACTGGTAAGTAGGAGCCTGAATGTCTGAGGGGAACCTTCAGGAAAATTCTTTAACAGCAGTGTGAACTGTTTATGATGCCATAAACATACATGGAGGTGTGACGGATATTAATATAACTCATGATATGTTATGATATGCCAGATCTGCTTGTGGTCCATATTATTGGGCACTTGAAGACAAAAGGCTGTGTGATAATGAAGATTAAAAATTATATTAGACAAAAGGAAAGCACAAGCACAGATTAAAATTATTTTGGACTAAAAATAACTAAAACTGAGCAGAGATGTTTCTTCAGTTGACTCGCAGACTGCAGAATTAAAGCAACAAATCTAGTTTTGTGCTAATTTTTTATAAGCATTTTTTTTCTATTACTGTTTTGTTTAAATATTTTAACTGTCCCCCCTTCTTTTGTCTTCAATTCTAATCAAAAATTGCATTTAATTTGTAATATATGTGTATACATTAAAAGATTTTCATAAAAAATTGCTTATTTGACAGAATTTAGCAACTCTTGTAATGACACAGAGGTGATTGTTCAGCAGTTCAATAGAATAAATGTAACTGTTCCCCCACTGCTATTTTGTAAACAATTTCCATTTCAGAATTTATTTTTAATACATTTTAAAACAATAAAGCTCTCATTCATGATATAATTTTATCACAATTAATGGTGGAAAAAAATAAGTTTTTAAAAGTGTATACGTATCATTGAAAAATCAATTAATTTCATTTCTGATTTTGTTAATTACTTAGATGGAATGAATTGTAAGTATTTAATTTATTTTGTAAATGTATGTTTTTATACATGTAAAATTCATTTTTAAATTATAGTTTTAACTAATTATATTTGTGCTGGCATTTTATTATAAATATTTTAGTGTCAGTGACTGCAAATATTTCAAATGCACTGACAGTGACTCCTGGTATTATATACTCTTTTTATGTAATTAAAAAGGGAATTTATTTGAACTTAATTAATTTTACTATACAACTGATTGCTTGAAAGAATGCTGTTTAATATGTAAATTAATATTTATATTTTAATATGTTAAATGTTGTATAACTAGTTTTCTTAGTTTGACAAAAACTTAATTTGAAAGTTACTGAGGAGAACAACTCCTGTTGTAGTTATAATATTAATGCTTTGGGGATTCTGCAGATTTTGAATTTTCTTAAAACACACCTGGAAAAGTCAGGAAATTTCATTCTCCTGTTTGAGTGGCAGTCCAGGTATGCCTCCTTCATGCTGTTTGAATTTCTAAATTCCAGCTCACATATGTTATGATATTTGATAATAGCAAAATCAGCTAAGATTAGTTTTTGCTTGCATAATTATGCTTTATTAAAGAGGCACTTAATGGAAAAATGAGAATACTTTTAAGTGAAATTTCTCCTGTATCATGTCAGCTGTAAAATTTTAAAGTTGGCTTTATGTAACTGCATGTTGTTTGGAAGTGAGTTTCAAAGAAAAGGACACAGATAACATATGACTGCTGCAACAGCTTTACTGTGTGAAAGAAAGAGATATACCCATTTTAATACAACGTTAAAATATTTTACATTTCTCTTTATCAATAGTTCCTGGAATTTGTATCTGCAGAGGATGCTGTCTTTACATTTTACATCCATACTATTTTTCTTTAATCTGTTTTTGAGAGGCAGGTTAATGGCCTTGGTTAAGATCTTGAAAGGTTGAATGAATAGGACTGCTTATGCAGCAAATACAAAATCTGAGGAACTCAAGAGACTAATCATTCGTATGAAGGAGACTAATCCCTAAATTCAGGTTATGCAAATGAATTCAAAAGTCTCTAAATAATACATAAAAAATATTGGGAAAATGTACAAGTGAAGATGTTGTGAATTTATATTATATTTTGTAATTTATAAAATTATAAATTGCTGTGCTAATTGAAATCACAGATGTTTGGTATATTTTTATGAATTATCCAAATTTTTATTCTTTCATTTTCAGATTTTTAAATAAACATAATTCAAAAGTTAAATAAAACTGAGCAAAAATTCTAGAATTTGAGGGAATTAAATTAAGGATATTTTGTAAATTATTTTTTAATTATTTTTACCATTATAATTACAATAGACATTTGTTATTAGGTGCAGATGAAATAAATCCTCCCAAATATGTAGGGTTTTTTGAAGAAGAGAATCTTGTGCTCGATAGTACTTACTCTGACAGTTCCACTGAAATGAAGAAACCTACTTGTGTTGAGCAGGCAACTCAACCATGTTCCTCAACCGAAAGTGAAATAGACAGTCTGTCATGAACATTTTAAAGGAAGCCTTGTGATAATAATGCTTATAAAATTCATTTAACTTGTAATTTATTATTCTGATGTAAATTCTGTTACTTATATATGAAAAAGCTGCAAACAGTGTTAAAATAAATTTAATATTTTATAAAAAAAATTAAGGGTAATTAAATTATATGTAGTTTGCTCCTTCTACTGTAATTATCAATATACTGGAAACTGTTATGCATTAAAATTAATACTGTTTACTGTCACTTCCTTCCTTGTGCCAAAGAGGCAGCCTTATTGAGAAAATTCTTATGTTTATGTAACTAATAATTTTTAACTGTAAGTTACATATGTTAAAAATTATAATCATAATTTATTTCATCTCATAAGAATAGTTTTGCAATCATATGAGTCATATTTATCATGTATTTTTTTTCTTCATGTATCATGTTTCTTCTGTGTTGTACCTAAAACCAAAGAATATCACATTAGTGTCTTAACTCCCTGCTCAAACACCATAGCCTTTATCAAGTGAAGCTTATGTATATATTATGCATATATTTTTGGTGTCTGCAGATAGAAAAATTTTAATGCTTTTCCCATGCATTCATGTAAAATCATTACAGATACCACAGGTTATTAGTATTCCTGTGAGGAAATATTTGTGCTTCCATTTCATTTTGTATGTGTAATAGCTTTGTGTTCGCTTTTGCTTACATTTATCATATCAAAATCTTTAAGAAAAAATGTCTTATAACTCAAGTTATAATATTTTATTGTATACATTGCCAATAAACTTATTTATTATTTTAATTTTTTGTTCTTTATGAATATGCTTATTCAGGCTCTGCAAAATCTTTTAATTTACTAAGTTGTCTAACAGAAATGCAATCTTTAGCATTTCTAAATCAAAATATTTTATTCTACTGAGTTACCTACAACAAAGATATGCCTTAAGTTACTTGGTGGAATAAAATATACAATAATCTATAGAGTTCTTATGAAAATCATTACAAATAAATTTTGACTGTTAATGTTAAAAGTCTGATGAAAAAGTTTGATGCTATAAATATTTTACTAAACCTTTGTAAAAGAGGGACATAATTTCTATACTACTTACCTTATTCAGATAAAAGAAATGACATGGTATTCTCAGGACATGATTATTGCTTATGCGCACAAGACTAGGTCTGAAGCTTCGGAAAGACTCCATGCCTCAGGCTGGTTTAAATGGATGCTGGATATTCTGAATAGTAATGTTAAAATATCAATTTTCAACTAATTTCTATTACTAAATAATGAAAAATCTGTATGTGTGTATGTTTTTCACATTACAGAAAAGCAATGAAAGTGTCACCAAATTTTAATTTAAAATTTTTGAATCACTTTATATATTTTTGACTGACACTCCAATTTAAAAGCAATGTGTTGCCTCCCTGAAAAGTGTAAGCTATTTATCTTGCAAATTTAGTCAACAGACCGAACCATTTAAAAGAAGTATGTTGCCATTCCACAAAGCAAATAAGATATTTAATTTTTCTTTCAAATTTAATCAGTCTGTTATTGATTAACAGACTAAGCAAATCAATAACAACAAATGCAGTTCTTCATACATTGGTTGGACTTGTATTTCTTTTTTCATTTTTTCTGATAACTATTTTAGGTGGCTGGCTGTACAAATGGCTAGTGATACCAAATGAAAGTGGTGATGAAAACACTCCATGCAGAGATTTATTTTGATCCCCTTCTCTCTGCTTTCGGGAGGGATTTTGCAGGGTAAATTATGTTTTTGCACATTACATTGCCCTGCGTATGGAGATTTTCATGTAATTCTATGTATATCTTTTATAAAAGTATTTATAATATACGTGCAAATTTAGGTAATATTGTTTAATGGCATTATTAATTTTAAAAATATTATTCTCCTCAATCTATAATGCTATTAATGGTGCTTCATTCACTCAGCTGTGCATAGCTCATGCCTACAGATTGGTGGTCCAGATGCAGAAAATATTGTAGTTGCAACACCCTACATGCAAAAAAGTACACTTGTGTGTGAAATCAAGAGAATTTGCAAATTATGTATATTTTTACATAAAGGTATTGAACCAAAAGTACTAATTATTCTGTCGAAGAATCGGGCAAATTTTCAGAATCGAATTCGTAAGCGTACAGGTGTATGTCTGCGGAGCTGTGGTTACGGAGGGAATATAAGCACACGAGGTATTTCTACAATTTGTGTGCTGTTATTCCTTCATGATATTTGATGTGCTTCTTGCAAGAGCGAATATTTTAAGGTATCGGGTAAAATGAGTAGCCACAAATGTATGGATGACGAAATGAAATGGAGAATTGTCAATAGATTGGAGGCAGCCCAGTCACAAGCACACATGGCTACAGAGCTCACTGTAATGCCCAGTGTCTTTTGCAGTTTTGTGGAAACAGTTTCAGAACTTTGAATCCATATCAAGAAGACCTACTCAGGATCCATAATGACAGATAAGAATCGTTATTTGGCATTTTCAGAATGGCGACACAGGACTGCTACAGCTCTCACATGAGCTGTATGCTGCCACTGGAATCCGAGTTTCACGATCTACAGTTGCCTGAAGGCTTCATGTATGCCAGAAAACTCTCTGTTTATTTGACTAACTGTAGCCCACAAGAGAGTACATATAGCATGGTGCAGACAACATATGCCTTGAACCAAACTTCAGTGGGACATACTATAGATAAGTTGAGATTCAATTTGGACACTGATTCGCAGCGTATCTGTATCTGGAGAAAGCCTGGAACATAACATCCCTCATTAGGGAAAAGGATTATTTAATATTAAAGGGAAAGGATTAAATGATGGTGGTAGTGTAATGGTTTGGGCAGGCATTATATTGGATAGCCGCACACGCTTGCATGCGTTAACAAAGGCTCCTTGACTGCTATAAGGTACAAGGTATAGGATCTTAGACAGGGTTCGTACGGTCTTTAAGAGTCCTTAGATTTTTTGGAATCAATTTTTGGTCCATAAAAGTCCTTAATTTTGGCCAAAATTGGTAGAAGGTCCTTAATTTTAATCATTTGAAATTTCTGT